GGGTTTTGACATTCTTCTAAGAACATCACTACTAGGTCCCCAAGATTTTCTACAGACTACATTATTGTAAAATATCCATTTTTCGTCTCCTGTTACCAACCTTCTCAAAAATGAATCATAAACAGAAATACGTATTGCTAAGTTGACTTCGGTTAGAGAGTGAGGGACCCAAACATTAAGCCTGGAAATATAACCGATCTTGTGCAAATGAGTTTCTACCCTTGTGTGCGACACATTTAGGGCCATAGCAATCTCTCGCACCGATTGCATGGTATTTTGATTAGCAATGGCCTGAACATTGCTCGTTTCAATTTCATGTGGGCGACCAGATCGTTGAACATCATTGATGTCAAAATTTCCTAAATGAAATTCGGCAAATCAATTTTGACAGGTGCGTTAGGTTAAGTCATCATCTCCATAAACACTGAAAATTTTTCTATGAGGTTCTGCAGCACGCTTACCTTTTTTAAAAATAATACAACAAAATATGCCGATAATGAATGATATTTTCTTCCATATTCACAGTGCAATAGCAAACACAATACTAACCTAGTTTCAACAAGAGTTAACAGTTGTTGACATATTACAAACAGGATAAAAAATCCACCTTAGGGATTAATCCATCAGTTAAAAAGTACATCATAGTGACATAAAAAACAAACAAAAAACCGAAAGTGCTTATTTACCAACTCAATAAATAAACGCTATATTTGGTATTTTTTTACTTTATATTCTCGTTATGTTTACTTCTACAGGCTAAATAAGATTGCTTTCCATATTTGTTTCTTTGGTCCCTTTACTTCTTCATTGATGAATTCTTTTTTTTGGAACTTAATAATAAAAAAAATAAATTCTACGTTATTTATTTATAAATATTTTGGGCTCTTCAACCACCTGGTTCATTTTCGCTCTATATTACAATTAGATCAATTACTACACACATAACAAAACTGCAGCTAACAAATACAATTTAAAGTTTAAAAAGTTTAGAATAGTTACAAATGAATATGATAGTAAAATTGAATTAAAGTTATAAAAATAAAGTTTAAAGATTTTAAGAATGAAAGCTAAAAAATACATTTTTAAATAATATAAATTAATATTAATAGAAGCGAACTTAAAGAGTACAGTGTAAGTATTAAAAAGTACAAGAACAATTAAAATTAAATATTAGAAAAATATAAGTTAACATATAACAAGGACATTTAAATAAAAAGTTAATGATTTCAGGAATATAATCTAAAAATACGGTTTAAAAAATAAAATTAATATTATAAGAAGAAGAAAAGTTAAAAAAGCATAATTTAAATATTTAAAATTTCAAGTAGAAAAATTGAAAAACCACTATAATTAGAAATTATGATTAAAAGAACATTAACAGGTATATTTACAATTTTAAGAGGAATCTACAAACATAAAAAATTTTATAGGTATATTTACAAATACGAGCTGTGATTAAATTTTGTGAAATATTTTGACTTCCTTAAGGAAAAATATTAAGCTTTTAATAGCATTGGGGTCCTGTTGGAATGATTCTTCGAGGCTATTTCTCAAAAGATGTTGATCCCTAAGAAATTGGTATGTATAACATTCGGTTAGGATATGGTTCACTGTTCTTCTACATTAAAAGCACGCAAAAATTTTGGAATTTAAATTGTCCTGAAATCTTTTTGAGGAGGTTCATTTTTTTTTCTCTCTTAACTCTATGGGATATGGTGTTGAGCACGGGCAGATCTACGGGGGGGAGAGGGGACTTTGGGGCTGAAGCTCTCCCTCGCAAAAAAGGAAAATATAACCACGTTTTATGGATAAAAATATTAAAAATTATCTCTTAAAGTGTTATTGTTTTTTGTAATTACATTTAAAAGGACTTTAGTAATCACTTAAATAAACACCATTTCATATAGGTAGTTAGCTTCGTTTTTTTTTTTTTTGCAAAGTAATTATCGTTATTTTTATGAAAAAAAAAGCTTTCGGGCAGAAGCTCACCTACCCCCCCTTCCCCCCCCCCCCAAAAAAAATTAAATCCTGGATCTGCTAGTGGTGTTGAAAAGGGGGCTTTTAAATAGACTGCCTTCATAATATTACATTGTATATACGAATGTTTTGCTGATGTTTCTTACTATAGTAAGATGATGATATATATATATATATACATCAAATGTACTTAGGAAAAGGAGATACCTATCTAATGTGTTGGGTTCTCACTGGGTGTACTCTAGTATATTAAAAAAGAAATGCCACTTATAAGATTACATTTTCCTTATGAAGTTCCTCCGAGTTACTTCTGACTTCCTTAACATTCGAATTCCTTCGGCAGAATTTATATGAATATGAAATATACGGTGGTCAGTGATCCTTGAAGAATTCCAGAAGATGGCCTTTCGGATATCCAGCTTGCGATGAGGAAAACTCATAGTCATAGTTGAGACATTTAAAAATACGAAGTGAAATCGTGCATCATGTTTGAAGGCTGCTTTAACATGTTCTCTCAGCATTCTCTCGCTATTTAAATACAAATCGTCCTTGCTGGAGGGAGTGGCCTTTATAAGATATCTCTTCTTGGAGAAGGATGTCTTCCATACTTCGGGAGTCGGAAATCAACTTGTCCATTACTGGAATACGGTGAATGTTTATTTTATTTTGTATTTTTTCTATCATGTAAATTTTTGATATAACTGGATCTCTTAATCTTGCGCAACATTTCATGGAGAATGGAAATAACAATACGACCTGCTGGGAGCATTGCTGATGGATATTTAGTTTTGTCAGCAGATTTATTATCATTGTCTAATCAAGTATCCCTGACGCTAGAAGAACATTTTTTTTATTCTTTATTTTGAAAGTCTTACTCTTGATTGTTTCTATAAGAAATGAAATCCTGCCTTTCCATTATCTCTGATAATCGTTTCTGAGAAACGTTTATTCTTTTTGTCCTCGATGACCTCCACTTAGGAGGAAGACGCATGGAAAATATAGAAAGTGGAAGAGGGTAATCCATGAAAGTGTAGGCGAGAGAATTTGATGCGCTTTCTTCATGCATGTGAAAAGCTATCATTTTCTCATTGACGAAATCATTAATATTGAAGGTCCTTCGTGTTTATTTTGAAAATTGAGCTTGTCTGGGCATGTAAGCAAATTGGCGTACGTTCTTAAAGTATTGGTAATTTCCAAAATAATTTATTCCCACTTGTCCATTCCCCAACACTTCTTTGACATTGTATATTTAGTCTTCATCCCTGCCTATGTTAGTTTTTTTGTTTATAATTTTCAATAATCAAACATTGTTAGCGACCAAATAATTCAAAAACTTAATCCCCTCTCAAAATTTGAGGTTTCACGTTTCAGGATGCGTAGAATTAGAAAAACAAATAAACATTCGTTTTGATCGATTTTTTTCAAATTTGAGTATGAAATCAGAGCTCACCCAAGGATGATCCTCCTTCATCGATATTACCATCCGCCTTTTACTTTCAAAATGGCGGACGAAAAACCTGCGTTGCTATAGACTATAAATCAACGAATGTACCGATTTCAATGAAACTTCGCTAAAGTCATTTTCTCGACGTCCTTTAAATTTATCTATGTAACATACTTCAACGAAAAGAAGCTGGAAAAAAAGTTACGAGAGATGGTAAAATTAAATTCCGAATAACTCAAGAAGTTTACAATTTTTTGTCGATATTATGTTTTTTAATAGTTTACGGAGTTTTCTAAAAAAAAAAAAAAAAAATCGTTAAAATTGGACAATTAGGAGCAAAGATATGGTCTTCAGTTTTTTTAAATATGTTCTACTCCAAATGTTATATTCTTTGTTTGGTTTTTAAATTTTGAATATGTTACTGAAGTAATGTGCTATTTTCTTTTTAGCATATTACTAATGGTTAAAAAAATGTTTAGTGCAATAATTGGAATCACCTTTTGTTTATTTTTCTTTGTAATTAAGAAGGAAATGTTATTTTAGAAATATAATTGTTTGGAAATAATAAACCATTGTGAAATAGTTTGCAGCGTTTTTTACTTTCCTATCGTTATACAGGGTGTCCCAGTTCTTAATAGCCAAACTCAAGAGAGTTATTATAGACAAAAGGTGGTCACGTTTTTTATTGATTAAAAAGGAATTGCTGAAAAACTGTTGAATATTATTAAATTTTAAGTACACCATCGCGAAGTAGACAAAATTTTTATTTTAAAAATATTTAATTGTTGACCGTTGCATGATAAAGGAAGGAGATTGTCCGGGATGGCGGTCATAAATCGGTTAAATAGTAGCAAAACTATTTTATCTATATTCTCTTAATTTCTATTTTATATGTATATGTTTATTATTCAATATTTCATAGATATGGTATTTTTTCCCTTGTATTCATCCATATCTTCAAATTTTAGATCCTGTAATTTTTTAGGTTTTTCCCCATTACCCAAACAAGTCAGCAAATTCCCCAATACCTGCCCTTACTCCGATTTTCCAGTTCTAAGTGAAACTCCTAGCTTAACTCACCTGCTAGTCTCTATGTTTATTCTTCTAATTTTATTTACTTATTTTTTGGTTTTCTTTTTCCTTTTTTTTCAACCTTTCCTGTATAACTGTAGAAGTATATTCACATTTTCATTTATTATATATTACACTACAATTGTTACCATCTATTTACTTCAGTTTAGGATCTTGTTACTTACCTTACTCTGTTTATATTTTAATGTACTTACTGTTTGTAATTTTAATAAGCTTATTCACATTGTTTATAATTTTTGGTCTAAATATTATGTAACTCTTTCACAATTCTGTATCTTTTTGTATCTTGTCCGTTCTAGCCCTGAAGAAGACCTGCAAAGTCGGGTCGAAACGTTGGCTTTTAATAAAATAGTTTTGCCGCTATTTAGCCTATTTATGACCGCCACCCCGGACCATCTCCTTCCTTTAAACATATTTATTTATTACTTAGTTTAGCATGATACTCATATATGTGACATTTATCTTTAATTAATTATGTTCATTGCAGGTTCTCCTTGCGAGCACGATGGTGTATGCGTCAACACTCCAGGGTCCTTCATGTGCAACTGCACCCAGGGCTTCACGGGGCCCAGGTGCGAGACCAATGTCAACGAATGTGAGTCCCATCCTTGCCAGAACGAAGGGTCCTGCCTCGACGATCCTGGCACCTTCCGCTGTGTCTGCATGCCAGGTTAGTGTCCTTCGTCCTTCTTGAAGTATTTAATGAAGTCCTCCAGTAGTTAATTTACAGCTGTGGAAAGCGCTATCCATTTCATTGATGGATTTCTGATACTCATCAATGGTCTCAGCCCTCATTCTAGTAACTTGTATTTACTTAAAAATTATTAATTTTAGTGGCGTTAAAAAAATGTAAAAGTACTAACATTTATTATAAATGACTTATTACTGAGAACTAGTGAAAAATAAAATAAAATGTTAAAAACATTGTGAAAAAAATACTAAAACATTTCAAACATATTAAAATTTTCATTAAAACAAAAAATAATTACAAAGATATATAACAAAAAATAATTAAATGCTTGTTTTTCTGGCGTTTCTTTTAAAAATATTCACATTTTAATGTACTCAGTGAGGAGGTAGTATTCCTTATAAATATTTTAATTTGTTTTTTATTTGTAAAATTATTTTTATAACGATAATAAAGCTATGATTTGCAGTTTAGATATGGTTTATTAGGTTCATTTTTTCCCTAATAACCGATAGATCGAAACGTTGGCAAGCCCAATAAACTATTACGTTATATTGAAATAAAACTGTCCAATAAAAGTTTCGATATATATTTGTAATAAAATATCGATATTTTCATAACATTCTAAGATAAATCCTCACCAATCCTCGATAGGGAAATGAAAGAAAATTAAGGCACGAAGCCTATCATCATAGAAACGCCATTGGAATGGTATTTAGTTTCTTCACATTATCTGCATGTCATTAATCAGAAACAAACTTTTTTTTCTGTGTTATATTAATTTTAAAAATCTTAATACGATCATTCAGTAACGAAAAAATTCTTAAAAGTTTAATATTTGCTGTACCGAATGGTAAACCTCCGAGGGGTAGACCGAAGGTGGGAAGATTGATAAAGCCAATCTGAAGGGACTAAAGTGATAAGCGATTGGTGGTGTCGGCATCGAACCTTCGGGGTCGCTAAGCCTTTTATTATTTATTTAATACATACATACATTACAAAAAAAAAAAAAAAAATCAAAAATCTTAATATTGACAGCTATTCACGTATTTGTATATTTTCCTGTTGCTTAACTGGTTTTCAGTGACATTTGGAAGCATATTTTTTTATGGGTATCATAATAACAATTTTTTTATTCTGTTGGCATCGCCATAATCAGCCTTCTGCATCTCGCTCTATCTTGGGTTATTTCTTTCCACTCATTATATCTCTATGCAATTTAGTAAAAATAAAAATTCTTTATTGGAATACACATAATTAGTCTACAATTCATTTTTTTTTATTTAAAAAATTTTTTGAGTTCAAGTAACATCCAAAAATAAATGGAAACATAGTACAAGAAACCTTGCTTTTATTTGGGAGCGTAAGATCGTAGCAATAAAAAATCCTTTTGGTATTTGCCGTGTAATTAGCAAGGAGTACTATTGTCAGCACATTTTCTCAATTAATTGCGCCATGGAGATACGACAATTAGCCTCTAATTGAGATCCTGGAGCCAGGATAAAAAGTAGTGTCCTTCTTTCTTGCCCTGGGGAGGAAAGTTCGCCGAAACGAGGAGAAAAAGGAAAAAAAAACCGAACTTGCGCGTCCTTGGTGAGTCAGGTCGTGTGAACTCCTCCTTATTGAACGATACCAAACTGTTCATTAATGGCAGCCGCCACCTGTCTGAGATCTGTTCTCTTTGGCCAATGGCCTTCGTAATATTCTCAGATATCATATTTTGTACGATCCAAAAAAAATTACTACACCATTCTAATATAGTGATTCTCTCTCCACAAAAAAAAAGAAAAAAAAATCAGTGCAAAAACACCTAAAGAAGTTTTCACTTAAAAAAATAAAAATTGTAAAATGAACTAAGAAACAACAAAACTGAGGTTATAATAAAATTTAATCCAGCTGATCCATCGATACCAACAAGCCGATAGAATTTCTGAGGCAACTGTGATAGTAGCATATTCTAAATCATGTTTTCTGTTAGAAGTTAATTGTCTAAATCATATTATTTTAAAAAGAACACTTGTTTTTATTTGGGGCTGCGGGCATATAGAAAAGAATATACATGCCTCGAAAAAGAAACGTAAACATCCTAGATACGAAAGATTTAACAGAAAAAACAAATGTTGCAATACGAAAATTTAATTTTCCATCGTTCGATCCACAAGAAGACTGGGAATATTACGAAGATGTAATTGCCTAAATCATATTATTTTAAAAAGAAAATATGTTTTTATTTAGTTATGATGTGAACAAGTGTATGGATGTTTTAATAAATGAATTAAAACATTTATTTTGAATTATATTTATAAATATAATACAATCCATGTATAAAAAAATGTGCTGAATTCCATCGATGAATATTGGAACATTATTCATGAGTTCCATTTTTCTACTTACCTACGTCTTCACTGTAACCATAGTGACATATTTTAGGAAACATTTTTTTTTTTTTTTTGGGGGGTTGGAATGTTTCAATTTCCTTTCCACATATTCCTAATTCACTAACAGCTCCAGTTTCTTTCGCAAAATAATCTAAATAGCTTTATTTTTTATTCATTTTTTTTTTGTTAGATGCTTCATAACTGTCTTGAAAACTAGATCTTCACTATGTAATCACACATTTATTAAAAAAAATTCAATAAAATTAAAAAAAAATTCATAGAATTTAATTAAATTAATTCTGACCTAAAAAAAAATTAAGGATTTGGTAAATTTTACACTTATTTATACATTCTGAAAATAATTTAATGAGGGTAATTCAAAAAGTACAAATTTATTCCTCTTTTATTCCACGATATTTTTGATACATTTATAATTTTATTTTTCCCTCAATTAATTTATGGACCTCTAATTTTTTGTTTACTTAAATTGTTAATAATTTGTGTATATTCTGAAATGTATAATAAATATATTAGATATACTGTTCATCAAGTTTGTATTTAATATTATTACACTAATATTTGACAGTCAGTTGTGTTATCTAATATATTTGCCGGCACTATATATTGAACAAATAAATTTTGCTATATAACTAGTTTTAATAAATTTCTATCTCATATTCTCCCATAATAGGTATTGAGATGAAAAAAAAAATTAAAAAATCGATTCCATTAACCGCCTGGTAACAATTACGCAAACCGGTAAATAGCAAGCTGCTAGAAGAACCTGTATTTTTGTCGTCTATTTTGCATCAGGGGCGTGGGAATTTAACACTCATTTTGTTATTCACTTCAGGGCAATTTAAAATAAGTATGTTTCGCAATCGATTATTATACAAGGTTTCATTGAAGAAAAAAAAAAAGAAGAAGAAAAAGTATCGACACTATATATATTACTGTAGTATAATTCCGGCTTTCAGGAGTAATGGATTTTGATGAATGAAGTATCGAACGGGTGAGGATTTCATTGAGAAGTGGCGAATTCCAATTTCAAAATGTAAAACTACAATAAAATCTATTAATAAAAATTGAGGGGTTTCAAAACTCAGATGCTTTCAAAAGATCGATACAGTTTAGGTATAAGTTAACAGTCTTGGTGAGTATGAAACCTCACTAATTGTGTATGTAGAATTAACTATCCTGAAAATAGTGAATTTTATATACAAATAAACATTCTTTTTTCTAGTTTAATTGTGAGAGTTTTTAGGGTTTTACCTATAATAATAATTGATTAGTTCATATTCTAGATATTTCTTCATTATTTTTATATTTCTTCTTCGCAACATTGCCTCTAATTTAAGAGTTTAAAACACTTATGTATTTTCGTACATTCAGGAATGCTTTTTCCCCCCTCTTCACCATTTAAAATTTAATAAAAACCATCAAAATAAATAATATGACTTGACTAATCTCGATTTATTAATCATATTTTATTTTAAATGTGTTTTCATTATAATAATTCGTTAGGTAATTAACATGGAATATATATATATATATATATATATATATATATATATATATATATATATATATATATATACATATACATATACATATACGAATTTGAAGACGTCAGGTCTTTAGTGCCGTGCCCCTGGTACGTGAGTTCAGATCCGATCTTCGCACGTGAAAATAAAAGTTAAATTTCTTCTGACCCAAGCCGCAATAATCTCTTCCATTCCCTACAACTTTCTTACTGTCACTTACGTCATCATTCGTATTCCTCTGGGATAGAAATATATACATAATATCAAATATTTTCATAATAAATATTGTTTAATAATTTAGTTTATTAAATGATAAATTATATATACATGTAATATGATACATGTTATATCTATAATATGATACAATATATATAAACTAGAGGAAAATTGATAATAATAACAATAATGAATATTCTAATTTCCCTTTGAAGAATGTAATTAGTATATATATATATATATATATATAGAAGAGAAGAATAGTTGGGGTGCTCAGTCAAAAAAGAAAGGCAAAAAATAAATTATAATATTTATTTTTTACATATGCCGACGTTTCGACCTGAAATTCAGGCCTTCATCAGGGCTAAGAAAATAACCAGATAACAAGGTATGAGAAACATAAGTAATGATGGTAAAAAATATAATAAAAAATGAGAAAATAAAATAAAAAAAATTATAAGAAAAATAAAATAGATAGATATAAAGTAAAATGAAATAGTTAGAATAATGACTAAGAACTAAGAGATAAATAATAAAAACTGTTACATTGTGTGGAATGATGATTTATTATTTATCTCTTAGTTCTTAGTCATTATTCTAACTATTTCATTTTACTTTATATCTATCTATTTTATTTTTCTTATAATTTTTTTTATTTTATTTTCTCATTTTTTATTATCTTTTTTACCATCATTACTTATGTTTCTCATACCTTGTTATCTGGTTATTTTCTTAGCCCTGATGAAGGCCTGAACTTCAGGTCGAAACGTCGCCATATGTAAAAAATAAATATTATAATTTATTTTTTGCCTTCCTTTTTTGACTGAGCACCCCAACTATTCTG